TGTTTCCTATTACTCAGCCAACTTCATATCCATGTTGCTACCCCTTTATTCCATAAGCTCTAATTTTGCTCACAAATCTGTTGTCTGGCACTATTGGAAATCCACATACACCACATCAATGGCATTGCCCTGATCAAACCCCTGTGTTACTTCTTCAAACAAAACTCCAGTTAGCTAGTTAAACATGATTTTCCCTTAAGAAATTCATGCTTACCTTCTTCAATTAACCCGCATTTATCCATGTGATTGTTAATTTTGTCCAGGAATATGGTTTCTGGAAATTTCCCAATTACTGGAGTTAAACTATCTGTTGTTGCTTAGCTTGTTCTTGCATGGGTTTTCGAACACGTGTTAAATGTTTTAGTCCTCTGACATCATCCCCGAGTCAAAAGAAGACTGAAAAAATTATTGCCAGGACCTTTGCAATACTTGTTCTCTCTCACCCATTATCCTTGGATGCATCTCATCTAATTCCAGCATCTTGTCAATTAAGTACAAGCAGTCTATTCAATACCACCTTATGAAATTAAAATCCTTCAAGTAACTGATTTTCCTTTTCTTTCACCATGACGTGGGTAATAACTTCTTATTTGCAAATACAGATGCAAAGAATTCATTCAATATCTCAGCCATCTCTCTGCTTCCATGTTTTGGTCCAACGTTGGCCCCACTGCTTCTTCTACTACCCTCCTTATGTTAGTTGCCAATCTCAACTCATACTCCATCTTTGCTTTTCTTATTTACTTTCACCATCCTGCTGAACCTTATATATTCAACCTAGCTCTTGATTGTATTTTCCACCTGAAATCTGTCATAAGCATACTTTTTCTTACTTTATCACAATTTCTACCTCTTTTGTCACTCAAAGAGCTCAGTAATTAATTTTTTAACCCTGTTTCCCTATTAGTTCCTTTTAAGGGAATATAGGTGGACTGTTCCTGAAACATCATCTTTTTGAATGTAGCCATTGTTCAAATATATGGAACTGCTTATATTCATTTTAAGCTGGAATACAATGAGGTATATTCAGTCAGTTTCTTTAATAATATTGGTCTTCTTTATTGTTAATTTTATAGAGTATTTCAGTTATTTGATCATGGATATATTGCACTTAAAAAGTGATACAAAATCTCTTACATTTGTAATCATTTCTATTCATTTAATGCAGGCTTTCTCTGTATTTGGTAACATTTAAAAAAATAATAATGTTAAAGAAAGTTTTGAAACTAACATTCAGCAATTCTGAAACAAAAACAGAAATTGATAGAAAAACTCAGCAGGCCTGGCAGTATCAATAGAAAGAAAGCAGAGTTAACGTTTTGGTCCAGTGACATTTCTTCAGACCTGTAGAAGGTTCGGAAGAAGAATCACTAGAGCCGAATCATTAACTCTGTTTTCTCTTCACAGATACTACTAGACCTGCTGAGTTTTGCCAGCAATTTGTTTTTGTTTCTGATTTCCAGTATCTGCAGTTCTTTCAGTTTTTGTTCAGCAATTCTGAAATTTAACATACATTACAGAATTAGCCTGAGGGTCATCATGCCTCAGGGGAGGGGTGCAGTTGAGAAAGTAGGATCTTCACGATAACCTCAATTAGCGTGGGAATTTAACCCATGCTGTTGTCATCACAAACTAGCCATCCAGCCAACTGAGCTAACCAACCCATAGAACCTATTTGAATATTTCCTTTCTTTTGTGGCATCAAATATTCTTAATTCTTCAGATTTAGAAAGAAAATATTCAGCCTAGATGCAAGGAATAAGGAGAAAGGCATTTTATCAATAAGCAGGGTTCCCTGCACCCAAACTGCCACAAATACATGTTATTAAAACCCTACCCACAATATGAATTCAAACATTTTTGTAAAAAATAGGCTTGACATTCAAAATCTGCTTTCTTTTGACTCCTAAATTTTAACGCAGAAAATCAGGAGTGGCCAGCAATCCTGCCAAAACTAACATAATGCGTCCACTTCAGCACAATGTCATCTACTGCTTGTAGCATATTTGGCAAATATGGTAGAAAAATGTCAGCATTTCTGTTCAAGTTATTCTAAATATCTTGGCAAAAACCTGAATTAAACCATAATACATGTAAACTGAAGGAAACCCCTTAAAAATAGCATGAAAACCATTCATGCATTCACAATTATTAAAGATTTGCATGTAAATTAGCAGTATTCCTCTGTAGTAATGTTGTAGCTACCCTAATATTTTATTAAATCTATTCTTACTCAAGTGGCTTGAAAGTGAATGTACCTCGTAAACTTGCAGTTAAATTTTACAACAGAATTTTAACAGCTTTCAAGGCCTGCCAACCAAAGACAGTCACAAAGGAAGAAGATCAACAGAGAGTGGATATTCAGTTCAAATGACGGCTGAGAACTTCACGACTAATGACTGAGGAATGATGGTAGCGGTCCCGCGATGCAAAGTCAGCATTCTCTTCGGTTAATTGAGTTGTTGCCATGCCGACTGTCGTAAATGAGGGTGTCACTATAATCTGTTTCTCATGCGATGTTCCTTTCCTGAAATCAAGAAATAAGTTGCGATCAATACTTGATTATAAATGCAAATACAGTGTTTCAAAATCTGATTGAACTGATTTATATTGAGGGTCAGGATCAGCAATCTGGCCTGGAGTCACAAACAAAAAAACAAAGCAAAGAAATGGTCAAACAGGCAAAGTTCTCAATTGTAATCTGCAGTTTAGAACATCCAAAAGAGGGAGGGAAAAAGTTATGGCACAAGTTGCACAGAAGATGCTTTCCTGAGCCTGTTAGCAGCCATTTTAAAGTGGAATTGGCAGAGGCTTGGAAAGAAGTTATCCTTCTCCTTAGTTGGTGTTTCAAAGCTCATAGCGACCAAAATTAAGGAAATGGAAACAAAAAACAAGAAAGACATTTTAATTCTTTGTTTAAAATGGCAATGCACATTCAGCAAAATAACAATCATTATTAAAAGGGGTTAAGTACCTTTACTGATCAAAATATCTATATGGATAACCTTTCAGACATCTGATACCAAGTGATTTGTTTATGTTTTATAGATACACGGAGGTGCCCACTTTAATTTGCACGTCTGACAGTCAAAGAGCAATTATTTTCAAAAAGCCTTCATTTTGTAATGGAGGAAAAATGGCTTAAGTAGGATTTCACAGTTTTGTCTGTTTTTCTTTCTTTAAACCAGATCATACACTTTTATGAAACATAAATAAAAGGCACTGATTACCAAAAGAGTTAAAGTTCATATTTAGTAAAGGGTATTCTAGAAGTTTTGCAGAGATTGAATTCAACAACTCTCCCCATTTTCAGTTTCAGCCCTAACAAAGTTTAGATGCTAGAATACACAGCACAGTGCGAATAGTAGATTTACTTATGTGGCAGCAACAAAATCTAAAGTGAGTGTACACTGGCATGAATTTTATCTGACATTACTGAAGAGGTAACCTGGATTTTGACAGAAATTGGCACTAAAATATGAGATTTGACTGGCTGATGGATTCCTGGTTAGGAAATACGTACATGGTTTTATAACATGCTTATGAGCACAGACATTGACCCTAGAATCTGGATACATGTGTGTCTGCATGTGGAGTCTGATTGGGAAAATTGCTTGGGATCCAAGGACTTGACAGCATTGAGAGACAGAGTTTAACTGATATTGGGAAGGAGTTTTCCAGAAGAATGGTCCTAAAATGCTCTTGGTTTGGACTTAACCCATTGTCTCCAGCACACCTTTACCCATCAGTAACCATTTTTGTGTCCCCACTGCTCTTATCATTGTTGTAGTTCTGGTTTCTTCCTTAAACAATTAAAAGATGAAATTTCTGTTTCTGTCTTCCAAGTGTGCACAAGAACAGACATTGGAAAATTTGCACTTTCCACGTTATTTTATATTTATTCAAAGGAATAGGCATACATTTTTGAACACTTGTACATCTATCATACAGATTTTCCACTATAATTGTCTACATTGTAGTTTGCAATGTTAAGTACTGACATAAAAAGTGCAATGTGTAAGTAAGGACAAGGAACCGAGATCCATATTTAAGACCTTTACTACAGGTTGATATTCTAGCAAATACCAATAGCAGCCAACTGAAAATAAAATTATCAGCTTGTATCAGGACTACATACTCGCTGATGGCATAATTTTATTTTACACTTTAAGCTTCAGCACATTTAATTAATTTGTTTGTAAATTGTGGCCACTATCAAATATCTGACATCAGTTTTTTATGAGTGTGGAAATATTTCCACTGTGAAGACAAATGGGAAAACACTCAATATGTCTGATATTCAAAAAAATGTGAATTATCTGTTGAATGAATCTTGGAATAAAATCACAGTGTGTTTGAATTCAATTAAGCAACAGAGTGATCTGTCAAAAGGACTCAGCCAGAAAATAAATGTGCAATGACAGCATTCTGTAGGGGAAACTCTGCAGTGGAAATTCCTACAAGAAATCTTCACATTAAATCCTAATTCCTATCATTTCAGCCTGTATTTTACTGAAGCTATGATATAATTTATTTTCTCATCTGACGTCTCTACTGTGCTATCTGGCGTTTGGAAGAAGCAGAATAAGAAGTCATAGGGTGGTAATTAATTGGCATTGTGAAAATGGTCAGGAATGCATAATTTGAAGACAATGATGATGTGACACACAGTTGTTCATATGCACGTCTCTTTGAATATACACATCAGCTTCAAATTTAGCCATAAAATTTGCTGCAGGATTTTGAGTGTAATGTAAGTTGCAATGGAGGCAGGTTAGCTCAGCTGGCTAGATGGCTGGCATGTGGTCAAAATAAGGTCTACTGTGCAAGTTCAGTTCTCATTCCATACACAATAGACTAAGGACCTGCCTTTGAAAGTGAAATGCAAATCACCATTGACAAAAACTGCCAAGAAAACAGCTCAGGTGAAGCATCAACGGACAATGAGCCAAAGATCTGTTTCCTGCAGAACACATATGAAGTAATGAGTAAATAATTTTCAACAAAATTAGGGTCAGATTCCAAATAGTTGTTTTTTCATATTTCTGCAATGTTATGATTATGAAACTCTTACAAACCTCCTTGACTCACTATAGACTGTCTGAATCCAATGTAAAAAGTTGAAGTTATTCGCTAGACCTGTGGAGAAAATATTCAAAATTACAATTGCAGAAGAGAAATAGATTTAAGAAAAAACTAAAAGCTCAAAGTTGAGAATACTCTCAGCAGTAATAAGAAGCAAAATGATAACAAATGTGATTCAGTTGAAAATTGACTGTCAATTCTGCTGCACTTGCTTTTGGGTTGTTTGTGTTCCCTGCTTCCCCAAATACCAACTTTCCCAATCAACCTGCACACCAAAATCTAGCCCAAGGTGAATAGAAGAACAACTGCAGAGTGTTAAAATATCACAAAACTTATTTTGAGTGCAAAACAAATCTGAAGAACTCAAGTCTTATCTATACCAAAGGTTGTGTTACATCCTTCAAATTTGATATATAAATGAAAACGAAATGTGCACTGTCGATTTTGCAGGTATCTTCAACTGATGGCGAAGGTGGATCTCACAGAATTGTAAAACAACACAAAACTGGATTTCATAAAATTTATTAACACTAAACTCAAACACATTACTGTAATTTAAAAATGACAGCAGGAGTATGGGGGAAATGGAAGGAGGTCATAAAATGAGCTGCATAATTTTTCATGAACTTAACCCATTATTAGAATGCTTCAGTGTTGTTAACAATCTATTTTCTTAAAGACGACAAAAGATCATCTTCAGAAATAATTTCATGTCTTACAATTTATTCTGAAATCATACTAGAATTTTCTTCCCCTGGCAAGGAGATCCACCCATCAGCAGATCATGCAGAAAATCATGCAAGTTGAATAAAGATGTAAGAATGTGCAGTTAATATGGGGTTTGTTTTTTGCAAGTCACCATTTAATGGGAGGCAAAAGTTTCTATAACATTTTCCTTTAATAATTAGAAGCACCAAAATTAAATGCAGTATTTGTCAATTGCTTCCACTTGCTTATTTGGTAATTGCTTACAATCAAGCTTAGTTTTGATTAAATGTAATTTTCAACAGCTTCAGGGTTCTAAAGATTTATTTTGATAATTACATGGAAGTTTACAGACTCACTTTTGTTCACCATGCATGATCAAGGTGACAACTGCTCCATACAAGTCCCTCGTTGCGAGATTGGCTAATATTAGTTGAGAGCGTTGCACTGTTACAGCTCTCCAGTGCTCAGCTCTGGCAATGACTTGGCATTTCATCAAAGTGTCATTTCACAATTGATATTGTCACTCATGCCTGTTGTTACTTCTGGCTTCAGTAGTTTTTTTTTGGGTACGGAGTGACATTTGTCTGTCTTGGACTACTTTCCATGTGTTCAGAAGGTATATTCCTTGATTAAAAGGAGTGCTTTGCACACATCCATGTTGGATTTTCGCATTCCTTTACAGTCCTTTTGACAATTTTCAATGCCACTTCAGCTTTTCCATTTAACTTGGGGATAACGTAGAGATGATGCATGGTGTTGAACACTACATGAAGTAGCTGAATTCTTCACCCATGAATTGAAGGCATTGTTACTCATCACAAAATCAAGAATACACAACAACTGTAGTATTCTTTCAAGCATATTACAAACTCACTGGTAGTCATTGATGTCAACTGGTCTAACTCCCTGTAATCAGAAAAGTATTTCAATGGTGACAAGGTAATTCATTCCTATGAGAGTAAAGCCATCTATTCCAAGCTTCATCTGTGATCTGTCTATATCTCAGGTGTCACAAGCAGCTGTTTAACGTGGTATTTGATTCAAGTATTGCACCAGCTCAGGTGGTCCTTAATCTCAGTGCTCATACTTGGCCCATTGGGCATTTCTGTCTTTGTCAGATTAGACTCAAATTCATGATGACTTGCAAGGATGCAATTCAGCATTATTTTTTCTCATCTCCTTAGAGATAACAACTTTATTTTCTTTGTGCAAGATGTCGTCTTGGGCTATAAATTCTTCTGTGAAAATGACCAACAACCAATACTCGCTCATAGCAACCATTGTATCACTGTTGCTTTCATGCCATCCCTCCATCTCTACTTCCTACAGTATTTGCAGAGTTGCATCTTATGGTATAGTTTTCTTGATTTGAGCAAGACACTGGTATTTTGGATCCAATGTCTCTGTGAGGTTATTGGCTCCAGAGTATGTCAAGTTATTGCTGGAAGATCTCACACATTATCTTTGTATCCTCAACTGTTGATACCACGTTGGCAATGTAGATCTGTTTCCCTTGATTGTGTGTCTTGTCCGGGTTACATCTTTGCAAATGATGTAACATCTTTTGCAGACTTTGGAGCAGAAAGAAGCAGATTGAGGAAGATGTTTTGAAGTATTTGTGGTTGGACTCCATTATCACTTGGTCTTACCCATTTAGGCATTAAAGTGCTTAAAAGCAAAAATAATAGCCAGGCACACTTTCAATGTAGTGCGTTCAGTTTGCATTAACCTCTTGGATGCAAATGTAACTGGTTGATCTTGCTGCGTAAAGGTTGCTTTAAGTCATGTCACACTGGTATCCCATTGGAAGCTGACTTCATCATCGACATTGTAGGATTCAGCACTGGTATCATCATAATTATTGTCTGATTGCAATAAATGTTGTTTCTTGTTCTGTGGCCTTAGCAATGAACATGCATTTAGGTTCACTCCCTGATGGCAGATTAGGCAAGAACTTTCTTTGAAAAATCCAACAAATTGTTGCTTTCATGTCTGATGAATGCTTCATCTCTGCGACTGCTTGAATTTTGTCAGAATCTGGGAGATATCCTTTTGCTGTCAGTACATAACCTATATCCTTAACTTCAGGCACTTTCAATTAACTTTATCCTCTTCAGTTTCATGTTCAACTGCGAACCTCTCTCTCTGTCTCCCTCTCTATCTCTCTCACACTGAATAATCACACCAAGATTCTGATAATACTACGTGATGACTTCTTCCATTGTGTCTCCACATACATTGATCATCCACAACAGCTTCCATTCCAGGAAGATTATTCATTCCTGTATGTTTCCTATGTAAAGCTGAGCAATGGAAATGCCAAATGGCGTGTGCAACCATCTGTATCTCTCAAATGGTATCCAAAGGATATAATTTGAAAAGTGCCACTTCATCCAGCTTCGCTACTAACCATTCTTTACATCCTTTGCATTTGCTAAACGTGGCAAAATTGCTCCAATAGATGGCACAGGGTAGTGAGATTTCTTCAAAACGTTATTGGGATTCTTTGGAACCATGTATACTTTCAGTTTTCAAGGGACTTTTTTTCCACTGCTACCAAGTTGCTAATGTAGTCTGTGTGAATTGTCAGTTACTTTTCCAGCTCCTTTTATTTGGGCTCTCAGCCTAATTTGTCCTCTTGACATGAGCATCGTTCCATGATAATAGCCTCACCCTTAACTTCAAGGTCTTCATTTCAAGTCATTCTTACTATCTGACACTTTTGATCACCTGCGGAGACTTATTAATTGACACTCCACTCACACCATTTGTATGATCTTTTGATCTCTGCCTATAAATTCTGGGCCTGTACGCTTTTCTTCACTTCACATGATGAAGGAGCAGTGCTCTGAAAGCTTCTGATTTCAAATAAACCTGTTGGATTACAGCCTGGTATCATGTGACTTCTGACCTTCATGATGTTCCAGAAAGAACTAGTGTCTACCTGACACTTGTGGTTTGCTTTTGTAGTCATCGTTCTAACAGTCACAAATCTTTCATCACCTTCAGACCTGATGATGCTAACATGTTGTGTGGTGCAAAGTGACTCATCAAAATCTTTGTCTGATATCTCTTCAACAGCCATCTTTACAGGCTTGTTTTGCTTCTTTCTAGCTAAACAGTTGGATCAAAGTAATTCAGCTTCTTGCATCACTATTTTCCCCACACTGATTAAGCTTTTTGTCCCTTTGAGAGATGACCTCCGCAATATTTGTCCATTTGCCTTGACTTTCTGCAAATATCTTTCCTTTATTCCAATCAGTTGTTTTCATTTAGCCTGGAATATGGCTCACCAAATGCAAAGTCTCATCTGTTCTGCCATACTACCTCATGATTGACAACCTTAGAGTTTCTGCATGTGTTGAAAGGTTTTTGAACGTGAGTTCCTCATCTCTCAGCAGACATATTTCTACAGCTGGATCTCTTGCATCTCAAATAATCTGATCCCTGATCAGACCATCCTCGGGTGGCTCAGGAAATTTGGCATGTCCATAAGGACCCTCACCAATGCCTACAGATGCACCATTGAAAACATACTGTCCGAGTGCATAACAGAGTGGTACGGCAACTGCTCTATCCAGGACCGTAAGAAACTACAGAAGGTGGTATGCACAGCTCACACCATCACAGAAGCTAACCATCCATCTATGGACTCCATTTACATGGCTCGCTACCCAAAAAGGCTGCCAACCTCATCAAAGACCTACTCCATCACGGTAATGATCTCCTACAACCTCCTCCATCAGGCAGAAGATACAGAAGCCTGAACCTATGCATGAGCAGGTTCAGGAACAGCTTCTTCCTGGCCATTATCAGACTGATGAATGGACTCTGTAGCTTCAAATAATGCTGATCTTGCTCACGTTGATCTTGTCTAGCGCACGTCCTTTGCAATGTAACCTGAATGCCTCTGCCTTAAGTCTTTTTGATCTGTACATCCTTGCTTACCACTCATAAACCATGCTTTTCACTGTACTTTGGTACATGTGACAATAAATCAATCATCTTTCAGGTGTTCAAACTCACATGATTCAGCTAGATGTTTCAGTGTAATTATGTACAGATCAACAATCTCCCTCTCCTCTTGATGTTGAAGAAAACCTGTTCAGAAGTAACATTAATATAGGACTCAAAATGAGTCTTCAAAAACTGCAAAATCTCTCCTGTCTGGCTTTTCTGTTCCACCGTGAGATCTGAGTTGCACTAGTGCTTCTAGCACAGTTTCCCCAGCACTTATAGCAGGAATGCAATTTTTATATGCTGATGCTTTTTTTTAAAATTAACTTTGCTGATATTCCATAGTTTTAACACTGAGTGTATGGGGGCAAAAATCCAATTCTATCTTGTAGACCTCTATGACTCTATATGGGACTAATTTAATTGTGAAAAATGGTGGCATGGATAATATGGGCTGAAGAGCCTATTTCCATGCCGTAGACCTCTATGATTCCATCATTTGTATAGCTTTTCATTCCTGCAACAGGAGATGGAAAATGCACCAATCTTTATGATGCACCATGTAATTCACACTGCAGAACGTATTTTTTACTTCTTTTCGTAGCTGACTCTTTTCCAGCTCTGAAAATCTATACATTTCCAGTTGGCTATTCCATGCTGTGTTTTGTACAGTAGCTAGTTGTCTTACAAGTCTGAAAATTCACATAGTTTCAACTGCACCTCTCTAACATCATAGTTTTGAATGATGTGTGCTTAATGGCTCCCGTGACCCATTCACAAAGACACTTACAAGCAGAGTGCACAACAACCCAGCTAAAATGCAGTAAGGACACACATGCATTTCTCTAAACAGGTGGTGCCAACTGATGCAGAATTGTCACAAATGATATAAGTTATTGTAGGGATATCTGAAGGCCCTGCATCCAGATGTTCATAACAGTGCCTGAAAGAGCGGATTTGCAATACTTAACACCACTTTAAATTTGAACAACAATGACTAAAATAGAATATCACATGGTTGCAAGTTATTGAACTAAAGCAGCTAAAACACAATCTAATACAACAAATTACAACAGACCTGCTAAGTAAGCCTCACTGGCTACAACTCCATTCTGATGAATGACTCTACTGCTGTGATCAGAGCCTTGTTGCAACATATAAAGTTTAGCATGGGACCATACATTTTCTTTACTATATAAAATTCACGCATATTGTCTAATAAAACAACCTTCTTGGAATAGTCCATATGAACTTCCTGCCACACATCCAAAATTAACATTGTTTCACTCTCTAGAGCTTCTGACATCTGAGTATTCCAGCACTTTCTTTCAAATATTCAGGATGTGCAGTATTTTGCTTCTCTTTTCGTGTAATTGGATGTGGAAAATACAGGATGAGTGAGCTAATGTCTGATTGTATAATCTTCATCCTAAAATGGAAAAGCTTCCTTTGCAGTATGGGGGCTCTCAAATAAAACAAAATAACTTCAGTGTTATGAGAAATCTGCTTTACTCAACACTTTTAGACATTAGTTGGTACTGGGCCAGAGAGACAGAAGGTGCAGCATGTGATTAGTCATGCAATTCAGATTTTAATGCGTGTTAAAAAGCATTTGAAGGGATTACACTTTAACGTAATTATTTCATGGAACAAGGTGAACTGGAATTTTCACAATAAAGTAACTGTTACAGCCAACAGGTTAATTGTTTTAACAGTAATTACACATTCGTGGCAAATTTTAATTCTTTATTCTGTACAAGTTAAACCAGTTTTTGTGACAGAAACAATGACAATTGTTCTTTATTCTTGGAAGCAGAGTTTGATGAAACAATATCTTTCTTACTACATTCTACAAAACAAATGAACCTTTACTGGAATCATGTTGAACTGATTTGGGGGAAAAAACAAAAGGGATGAAATAAAAAGGTGATAAAAGATAAGTCATTGAACCATTTTATGTTAAATGCATTAACTTAGCACTATAAATTTTATAACACCAGCCACACAGAAAGTCACTTGAGATTTTGAGACCCCATTGAGAAACATTGTATGCCAAAGAATGCATATTAAAATTTAAGTCTGCAATTGATTTTCCTAGCATTGAAATTAGAACATTCCTGAATTTCTCATATGTGTTCCTGGCAGGTGAAGCTCTCCACCAAGAATGTCAAGTTAGAAAATAACTCCAAGTATATTGACATGTGCAAGACTTCTTCTTCATTATTTCTGATCATGTAACGTTTATTTCATGGTATATTTCTAGTTATGTAAAAAATCCAATTACACTCAGAATAACATCTAACATTCATTTTAACTGGGGTTGGTCTTTGAAATTCTTTTCCCCAGAGAGCACTGGAGGTCATTGAATATATTTAAGCCTTAGTTAGATAGATTTTTGACCTATAAAAGAGTCGATGGTTATTGGGGACCATGCAGGTATGTAGAGGTAAGGCCAAAACCAAATCAGTCTTGATCTTATTGAATGCTGGATTTGACCCAAGGTTGAATGGGGTGCTCAAGTTCACAAAGCCATGGGAAACATAAAATTGCAGGCAATTATTAAATCTATAACATAATATAATGTATACAATGTTTTAAACATACTCACCAGGAGGAAGTCCTGGACTCATTTGTCCAATATAAATGTAGATGAAAAATGCCACAGCAATGTTAATTAAAGCATAAATCCAGTGAATCACAAACATGATTACAATTGACACTATTGCCTATGGAAACAATAACAATATTAAATCAATTAATAAAGTGTAATGTCTTAACTTGACTTTGTTCAATTCTTTACTCAAAGAGCAATCCTGGCACACAATTTCACAGAAATATTTCCAAAAGCATCATTGACATTTATGTGGACATTCGATGGGTGTCTTATCAATCAGCTAGACAGCTGGTGAAAGACAGCTGGTGAAAGACAACTGGTGAGTACCTACCAATCAACCAGGCAATTAAAAAGGCCTTCATTTAGAACCAAGCCCCCAGGAATGCAAATCCAAATCAGAGACTGGAGCTTGGAGGCAGCTATGGCTACTGAAAGAACAGAATCCCTAATCGCAGAATCGCAAAGGACCTCAAACAAAGGTAAACAATTAGTTGAAGGAGGGCAATTCTTGGGTTACAGGATGCAGGGAGGGAGCCCAGCAATGTCCCTGCTCTGTGCCCAATTCCTCAAACAGGCATTGAGTGCCTTTGACAGAGGAATCCTCTCTCGCCAAAGTGAGAAGCTGCCTGCAGAAAGGCAGTTATTGGTAACACGAAATAGATACATGCTCACTTGCAGTTGGGTTGATGTTTTTTTAAAATATGCTTTCCATATCCGACATTGGTTCACCTGTACACAGAATCTCTTTTGCAAACTGTTCAGAGATGTTATTATATGGCTCTAAAGCAAGGAGGGACTTGACCCAAGGTCTCCTGTGTTAGGGGTAGGGACACTACCACTGCTCCATAACAGCCCTTTGCAATTGGGCTGATTACAATGGAAGTTAAGTGGTCCTTACCTGATAATTTAAAGGCCTCATTTCGCGTCATGACAGGAAGATGACAATGGATCTTCCTGCCCAGGACTGAATTCTGGTGGAGCTGAAGAGGTGGTGGGTTTCAGTCCACCCAACATATTTACGAGCCCTTCCAAATCTACCTCCTCTGGGAGAACAGGATTCTCCAGAGGCAGGTCAGGTGATCAGACTTGCTGGGCATGTCACAGTGTGGGGGCCAGGGGAATGTTGTCAGAATTAGCCCTTCTATGAGCTTCAGGTCCCCAGTCAAGAAGGCAGCCCTCCATCGTCTCACTGTGAGCCTGCAGGGGCCACATCAGCTTAGAATCATAGAATCCCTATAGCATGGAAGCAGGCCATTCAGCCCATTGGGTCCACACCAACCCACCAAAAAGCATCCCACCCAGACCCACTCCCCTGATCCTATCCCTGTAACCTTGCATTTCCCATGGCTAACCCACCTAACCTGCACATCCCTGGACACTATGGGCAATTTAAGACGGCCACTCCACCAAACCTGCATATCTTTGGACTGTGGGAGGAAACCTACGCAGACATGGGAAGAATGTGCAAACTTCACATAGACAGTCGCCTGAGGGTGGAATCGAACCCAGGTCCATGGCACTGTCTCGCAGCAGTGCTAACCACTGATCCACCGTGCCACCCTGGCTTTTAGTGGGTGGCCTGAATATACGGTGTACATGCTTCCCCGCACAGAGAAAGAGGTCTATTAATCTTCTACTGAAGAATTTCAATTAGCATTAGGTCTTTGCTTTTTCCTTTCCCCAGCCCTCCCTTGACTGAGTGGAATCAGGATGATAACAGGTTCACCGCTTCCTACCTTCCCTCTCAAATATCAGAGAAATTAAATCCTACACTTCACAACCCACACCTCATGGTTACCCTTAGGTGTCCAAAGAAATGTGACTTGAGAATCAGTATGATCAGAGACTCATGGCAGAAATTTGCAATTCTGAATACATCAAGGGACAGCCAATGACAGGTTACCCTTTCTCCTCCGGACCTCATCTAGTAGGAGATCGCAAGTGGCATCCCAAGAGCCTATCTCACCATTCTTTTTGTCCCTCAGTCATCTGAAATCTGCCGCCGTACATTACCCAGCCAACTCCATATCTTTGGTGGAAGTGGGTGAGTGGAGCCATCCTATACTGCTCCATGAAGATTGCATCTAATAAACACTTGAATGTTAAACCTGCAGGTTGCTCACTTACTTTCTGTGGGCAAATTAAAATGATAGCAATCAGCAATTAATTTTGGAACTTACTGAGTGCTAAAACCAATCTTCCAAACAGTTGTGTCTTATTAACTCAGCTTAAACCAGTCCTTGAAATCACTCAGTTAGCAACTTCTTTTACTATTTCACCAAAACTCCCCCCTAAGTTTACGCATGACATTGGCTCATCCCTATCTAGAGTACAGTGTGCAGTTCTGGAAGGATATATTGGCACTGGATAATTTGCAGCATTTATTAATTGAAATCCTCCATTAAAATGAATTTTCATCTCCAGTGGATAAACTCATCAGCAGTACAGGTTCTATAATTTTTCACACAAGATAAATATCCCCATGATTAATCTAACAAAGGCACTTTCATTGTGCATTTTTAATCAGAGTGATAAAACAGCATCTTTACCAAGCCAACAATGTATTTTTGTTCATTCTGGTAGACATCTTTATAAACTGTGGGAACAAATTACTGCAGATGCTGGAATTTGTACTGAAAACAACAAATGCTGGAGATAACAGCAGGTCAGACAGCATCCTTGGAAAGAGAACAAGCTAAAGTTGAGTCTAGCTGATTCTTCATCAGAGCTGAATACAAGTGTGGAGGGGGCTGCATTTATGTTATAGTTTGGGGTGTTTTGGGGGCAGTGGGGTAGAGAATACTGGTGAAGAAAAGATGTTGATAGTTCAGATTAAGTGAGAATGACAGAATAATGGTGTACCTAACTGCCAGACTTGAAAAAACAGACAGTCCCAGTAGGGTGGAACAGGGACAGATGACATGGTGACAGAGAAGGTAACAAGTAAAGCTAAAAGAAAGGGAAGAAATGGGAGTTGGTTCAGAATTTGGAGGTGTTGAACTCAATATTAAGTCTAGAAGGCTGTAAGGTGCCTAGTCTGAACGAGATGTCGTTCCTCTAGTTCGTGCTGTGATTCACTGGAGCACTGCAGCATACAGAGGACAGATAAATGGATATGCGAGCAAGACACTGTGTTAAAATAACCAGCTATGGGAAGGTCAGGGTCATGCTTGCACACAGACCAGAAGTGCTCTGTAAAACAGTCACCCAGTCTGCGTTTGCCTTCTCTAATGTAGAGTATAATCTGTAAACGATTAGTAATTACTGCAAAATTCTAAGTCATTTTTAGATGTTGAGTCAGCCCAATGCAAGGCTATTAAAAGATAGTTAGTATCTTTGCAGATAATAAACATAGGACATTTCAAGCCAATGTGGACTGTATTCAAATTGACGTCCTAAAGGTGCTAGCTAAGCCAATGAATCACCCAATCTCCAAATGCAATGTGCATAGTGCTTAAAATGGTTCAGAAAAGCATTTGGAAGTTTTGACAGAATGCACAATCTCATCGAAGTAAAATAATGATTACAGTCAACTAACAATCCACCTAATGGATTCAAATTTTAAAGAACGTGTTCAAATCATGAATAATGATGAAATTTAAAATAGCTGACTTTGGGTAATATGTAAAAAGGGCACATTCAATAAAAAACAAAGCACCAACATTGAACAAAGTGGTAATCTACATGACTGTTAAGATTTTGCTGGGACATAACTACACCAATTTTAAAAAGCAAATGTGTCTTCCATAAGAGGAAATCTTAATGTAATCCATTCTGAAAGTGTTACATAAATGCTCCATGTGCTGTGCCATTGAATAGTTTCCATCAAATACTTACACCAACAAATGACAACCAACGATTGCAGAGTTTGGAATAAAATGACTTTGGCATCCTGTAAATTTCTGGTTCCTGAGACTTCTGCCTTTCTATGGAACCTACAGATCGGGAGTAACAAAATAAAAGCATTTTGATAGCTCACAATCCCTAATATATCACTTGTGTCTGAAATTAATAATTCAATTCTATGAAATGTCATCTTCAGTATACCAAAGCATAATGTTTTAGTTCATTGAACTTAATATAGCTCTATCTTTCTTCACCTACAAGATGATTTTTTAAAAAAAGTGATAATTGTCAATATGAAACAGTATCGGGATTGTCAAACACTTAACAAAAATCAGTAATTTTTATTTCTATTGAACATTATTTCTGAAATAAAGCTGCATTGATGGTTGGAATTACAAAACAATAGTTACACTCCTTCACTCTGCATGCACCTTCAATTTAATCTTAGTGTCAGATCATTTTCCACAGATTCTCTATGATTAATCAGTGCCAAGTTGACAACAGCAATTAAAAATAAAGGAGTATTACAGACTTTCTGCAATGGAGGCTCTGTGGTGATGTGCATTTTGAATGCCATCTATTACCTTTTGACATCTTATTGCCAATTTTCCAACATGTGACGTTTGGTGCCCAAATCACAAATGACTTCAACTCCTGAGCTGATGCAAAATGACAACGGCACACAACTGGAGGAGGTTCAACTATTTCAAAACTTCTCAAAATTTCTATCTTCCAAACTGCAGTGGGTTTGGTGGTGTGCACTGTGAAATGAAATATGAACTCTAAAACAAGATTGTAGGACACATGATCAGTACGTTTCCAGGTGACACAAAGATAGCTGATGTGGTAAATTAAGAAGAGGGAAGCCTTAGACTACAGGATGATATAGATGGTTTTTCAGATGAGCTGAACAATGGCAAATGGAATTTAATCTTGACAGTATGAGGTGATGTATTTTGACAGAGCTAACAAGGCATGAGAGTAAATGTTGAGTGATAGGCCCTAGGAAGTACTAAGGATCAGAGGGACTTTGGTGTGCATGTCTATAAATTCTGGAAGGCAGCAAGACAGGTTGATAAGGTAATTAAGAAAGAAAGTGGGATGTTGTATTTAATGCCGTGGCTAATATCAAGAACAAGAAGGTTATGATGGAGCTGTACACAACATTAGTTAGGGCATGGTTCGAGTACTGTGTGCAGTTCTGGTTGCCACACTATAGATGTACCAGAGAGGTTGCAGAAGAGATTCACCACAATATTGCCTGGGCTGGAGCGATTCAGCTATGAAGACAGGCTAGTTAGGCTTTGATTAGAGCAGAGAAGGCTGAGGGGTTTGGGAGTGGATCTGGTTGAGGTGTACAGAATTCTGAGGGCCATAGACAGGGTTAATAGGATCAATAATAGTAATACAGCAATAGTAAAAGGGATCAATAACTACGGGGTACAGTTTTAAGGTAAGGAGCAGGAGGCTGAGAAGGGATTTTAGGAAAAAATGTTCAATTTGAAGATTGTGGGAATCTGAAACTCACTACCTGAAAGAGTGGTAGAAGCAGGAACGCTCAAGACATTTAAAAATTATTTAGATGAGCACTTGAAACGTGTACCATACAAGGCTATGGACCATGTGCTGGAAAATGAGGTTAGAACCTATGGATGTTTGATGACTTCCAATGGAGAAGATGGGCCAAAAGATCTCTTTCCAAGCTATAAAAACTCAATGATTCTAACTTTATGACTTCAGGGATCTCAAGTCACTACCCTTTGCTCTACTAATGATTTTGAACCACAATTTCCAGTTATTATTGTGTCTTTAAAACACTAATAATTAGAACAGACCTGCAGAAAGTTCGGGAAGGCTTAACGGAAAAGAAGACTTTTTGTGATACTTTTAAAAATTAGGATTTTTTTTACAGTGGGAATTCTAGAACCAAGATGCCTGAAAGAGGCAAGAGGGGTGCACAGGACTCCAGGTTGAATCACATGGCAAGGAAAGTTAATATGAGGGAGTTTATAGAGGGAGAGACTGATGCGGACAGGATTTTAACGTATTATACAATGAAGTAGGAAACAAATATTGTTTGTAAACCGTGTCTTAGCATGGTACAGGGTAAGGACAGCTCCATCTTACACATTTTGGAGTTTACGAATGAAGTTTTTGAATAATCAAGACTCGAGATTATAAGACATTGATAAGGATTTCATAGCAGAGCAACCAAATTGGTGCAGGAATGAAGAGAATTGTACAGTGACATAGGGTTACAGGGACCATTTAGCATACTATCTATCACGAGGATTCATTCCATTGCATTGTCAATATTGGGAATCCCCAAGGAAATGTATCAATACACATTTTGATTTATCAGTCACCTGCTGCATACTCAGTATACTGAGTTGCCCAGTCAGGAAATGGGAATGAGAAGAGTATCTTTTGCTAAAGTGTTTAGGGCCTGTATTTATTAGCAAACAGTGAAAGTCTATGAGAGGACTTAATTTGATTTGGAAAAGAAGGGTCATTAATCTTCGTTAGCAATGGTATTGACTAAAACAGACTGGCATCCATTCATTATGATTAAATTACTTACATTCAAAACTTAATTCAAAAATTTTCCACCCGGTGTGCTGTGATGGAGCTGTGATTGCCCAAATAAGCTGTTAACATCAATTAATTAACTAAATACTATTCTGAAGATTGCATAAAAAAGCTGAAAGATTGATCAACTATTCCAAAAACAATTACCATATCCTTTTGTTTCTGTTGAGTCATCTATGTCTGTATAACAGAATTCTGGATGTTCAATTATGTTGCTTTCAACATTGAGATGGGCTTCCACAACTTGACGTATAGAAGGATTTTCCAAATCCTGATGGTGTCCTCCATCCAGTTTCGATGGGTCTCTTGCATTCTGTTCAGGCAGATCATCTGCAAGCTCTGTCTCTGAGACCTGGTCGGCATCCTCTTTAAATATTGTATTTGTGTTGTCAAGATCCAACATAAAACTGTTCTGCAGTGTCTGTTTAGCAGGTATTCTCACCTTTTTTAAACGGTTGGATTGATTCACAACTTTTTCTTTATTGCTTTTATTCACCTCTGCTTTCCTGTCATGAGGCACTGTTTGAAAGATCTGATTCATATCTTTATTGAATTCAAGTAAAGATCCATTTGTATTTCCCTTTATTAGGCCACTGGATCCATTTTTAAGTGGGCCTTCTAAGTTCAGCTTCTGTGATGGCTTATAAGTGCTAGCATTTACTTTATTCCTTTCTTTTTCATTTTGCTGAATATCACAGCTCATACAAGCTGAGAAGTAGGAGTAATCTATTACACTGTAAGTCAGCATAAAGTTGATGGTGACTATTGGAGCAAGAATATTCACTTGTCCAATGAAGATAAATGCCATAGTCACAAGTCCCACAAGACATATTGCAGCCACTGGTGTTTTATTTGGTCCTTTCTGAAAATAAGATTATGTACAATGAAAATAATTAGTTCTGTACCTTACCACCGAAAAAGTACATCAAAGATATCATATATTTAGGTTGTCTTAACTGATACTCTTGAAAAATAGGTTATTGTAAAAAATAGCATCAAAGGCAAAAAATATATGCAAAGATCATCACTCATTGTATAAGGGCGGCACAGTTGATGAAAATTACATCTGCAGAAAGGAATTAGTTAGGGGTTAATGAAAGTTTCAAAGTTAGACTGGTTCCCTGGATTATTACACAATTGCTTTCAAAGCGAACACTTTCCAGAACGTTATATTAGAAATTTAAATCAACTTGCTCAAGTTCATGAGCTGAAATGTATATATTGTGTAGATTGAATATGCTTGATAAATAAAATGACATAATTCTTGCTCTGTATTCTCTTATATTCTTAAATTAGTTTCATGCAGAGTAGATGAGAATGGAAAAGAGCACTGATTTCTTGGGAATTGATTTGAATCCCACACAGAAAGACAAAACAAGAGGGATTATTTGCCAAATTAGAATCATTCAGCTGGGACCAGCATTCACAATGACCGCTGGATAGGAAATTCTAACCTCACAGCTCTTAGATTTTCCTTTCACTAATATAAATGGATAGCAAATCAGAAACTATAAATTCCTGATTTCCTGACAAATACTTCCTGGGAGTGTCTAAACAGGAATTAACCCTGAAGTCTCTAACAATTGCTGGAATCTAAGAATTCAATTGCACACTCGGTCAATGAGGCAAGAAATTCATGCTGGCAATTTCTTCATTTACCTCCCAGATTAGCATAAATATCATTAACTGAATTAAAGTATTCCAAAATGATTTGACTTAGTGAATTGCCAGCATTTCTTTAATCTCAGTTACAGGAGTTACAGTTGCAACTATGCACAAGCTCTAAACTTGTCATGTAAATAGAAAATCAAGGCTTGATTTGACTCCAAAACAAAGCAAAGTGAGACAACCTCCTCCACACATTCTTTAACTGCATTGCTCCTGCAAAAGTTCTGACTGCATTTGTACATGAAAAGCAACATCAGTGTGAAACAAAACCATTTCACACTTACACAACAATCACAGCATGACAAAATCTTAGGACACTCTAAACACAACAGAAAGAAGAGAATTCAACACTTGTCGAGGTAACCCCAGGATGTTGATAGTGGGAAATTCACCAATGCTAATGCCATTGAATGTCAAGGAGATATGGTTAGATTCTCATTTGTTAAAAATAGTAATTGCTTGGCACTTGTGTGGTACAAATGTTATTTGTCACTAATCAGACCAAACCAGTATGTCGTCCAGATCTTACTGCACATAAACATAGTTGCCTTCAGTGTCTCACAGGCATGAATAGTACACTACGCTATCAACAATGAATATTCCTACTTCTGACCTTATGATGGAGGTAAGCCCATTGGTGAAGCTGCTAAAAGATGGGTGGGCAAACAGCACTACCTGCGATAATCCTGCATTGGATCGATATGATCAGCATCAAACATTGACAAATTCCTTTGTGCTATATGTGACTGCAAAGAAAGGAGAGCTCCCCCAGTCGCCATTAACTTCAATTATATTAGGACGCATTAAAGCCCTACTTGGTTAAATGCTGCATCAATATCAAAGGCAGTCACTCTCACCTCTTCAATTCGGCATTTTGACTAGGTTTGGAGAAAAACGGTGAGATGAACTTAGTAAGAAAACATGTCATAGTTGACTTTTCCATTCCGTCCAGTGAGGAAGAAACCAGTGTCTGTCATGATCCTAATTAGCACAACCGATCACTCACTATATACAGATTTTGCTTAGAATTATCAAGATTGCCACAGCTACAAGGATCTCCAAAAAGGATCATTTATTGTTGTGAAAAGACATCTTGATTTAACACACCTGTCTGGTTCCCTCCACAGATGCCACCCCACTTGCTCAGTATTTCACTATTTTGTTTCGCATTTCAGCATCATTTTTGCTTTTTTGTGTGTTCCTCTTTCCAAGTTGCTTTTGGTCATTCAAATTTAAATAACATAAATAGTGTCTTCCTAAATACCAAATCACTATTCAGTCTGCATTTATGTAAAAGCTATCTTTTTTAAAAGTTAATTGCACTTTAAATTGATATTGATGCGAAGTTATCCAACATTTATGTATTAATGTAATGTGACAGATTGAAATAGTTTAATATGTCTGCATTTTATATTAATTATAGAACATGTTACAACATCTTTCATATCAGTTTTACTTTAGAAATTTATAATTTTTTTTAAACAGAAAACTTTCATCTTGAGTATAGTAGTCATTCTTTCAAAAGGTTTAGGGTGATGATGGATAATGTAATAACCTACAGGTAGAGAAATCAATTAGCAGACAGCAGCTTCAGTGGGGCAAGAACAGAGCTGGGCATGATAGACTGGAACGAGAGATTGGCAGGAAAACCAATAACGGAACAATGGGCTGCCTTCAAAAGGGGAGATGTTTTGGGTACAACTGGGGTATATTCCTCCAAATGGGAAAGATAGAATGAACAATTTCAGGGTTTCCTGGGTGACAGGGAAATAGAAACTAAGAAAAAAAAATGTGTGCTTATGACAAGTCTAAGATAGAAAATAAAACTGAGAACCAAGAGGAACATTGAAGGTTCAGAAAAGAGACAAAAAAGCAGATAAGAGAAGCAATGAGGAATTATGAGAATAGACTGGCAGCCAAGATAAAGAGGTATCCTAAGGCCATATAAATAATTAAAGGATGGTAAAAGAAGGATAGGGTCGCACAAACACTGCATAATCTTTGGTGATATTTGATTTTTTTAAAATCTCTTTAAACATTAGGTTCTTCATTTTGGACTGTATAGAGGTCAATAAAATGAAACAAATCTTATACTACTCACATGGGTTGGCTTATGGACAGAGCTACCATTCTCATTTAAAATAGTTAATATTTATTCAATTCAAGTAATGTATAGGTCATATGTTTATTGCTCTACTTTACATTATATCTATATATTTTATAATAATTAGAAATAGTGAATGGCATTTATGAGTGAAGATTATTTAACTTCATAATTTTTCATTCGATTTTGCCATCTTTTAGTGTGAAACATGGACTGTGCAGATTGAACATGCTCAGAGGTCAGAACTTTGTGAATTCTTTTGGGTCGCCAAGATATCCATTTAGGTCTGGTCCAAGAACAATTTTGTGGTAGATCAGGTCCCTTTGAAGGAGGTCAAGTGCACTTTGAGTGAGATCAGGTGCTCCATGGGATTGTTAAAGAATGCAGGGTATGCATGAAAAGTGCATAGAATCATTCCTGTCAAGCACATCAGAACTGTTAACAGACCTGTCAAAATCAACTATCAAATCTGTCAGAGGGACCTGTCGAAACAGTATAAAGGCTTTTTTGCTTGCTATTTCACTCAGGCTATTGGATTACTGCTGCATGACTGATTTCACAACAATCCACTGCCAATGCATAATGCCTTCTGTTTCATGGTTTGAGCACCAGCTACAAGTATTTTTTTACACTTTAATGTGTGGCTGTGACTTCTGTTGCGCTCAACATGTTTGTTGTTATATAGCTATATGTTGTTGAATCAAAGTAAATGCAGTAAATAAGTTTTTATGAATAAATGTGTATCCCACTATAGTGCAATCTGCAATACACACTTAAAATCTTATTTTATCTCATTTCTGCAGGGATTCTGAAGTCTGTCTATGGTGGATTCCAGGGGAACTGGCAATAAAGGGGAAAGAGTTGTACATCTGGGTGTGGCATGTGTTGACGTTAGTTGGCATAAAGTTGGTTTGGAAGCTACAAAGGACAACTGGCTTGGATTGAAGGGCATAGATTAGAATGGAGATTATGAAGGATAATTTAGGGAACAGTTTACAATGGGGATGTGAGGAGCAAGGGGCTGGGGAGATTGCAAGATGTTTGTTGGCATGAAGGTTGGAGGATTCATCTTTTATTCTTTTTTAAAAGCTGGACATAATGCTGAATCCCCGAGGCAGGTCTTTTCATCAGCCCACCTCCACACCCACCAAGTTTGATAGTTCTTCTGGGGTTGACTGCCCCAACTTTACGCAGTCACCTTCCCGAGAACCAAATATTAGAAGTACAGGCAGCCATTTTATAGATTGGGTTCACAAAATTGAGAATTCTCCTGACTTGGCACACCCAACGTGTGAGTGAAAATCCAGGCCTCAGGATAAAGTGTTGAGTTTTCCTAGGCCAAATATCACAGGAAAATAATGTTACAAACATTATCAGCATATATGCTTGCCATGCAAAACAGCAGACAAACATGACAAAATATTCCAAAGTCAACAATTTCCTCAACAAAATAAAAGACACAGAATGTTAACTAATTATATTAATGTAATTTGAACATCAAGAAAGAGCTGAAGCACGTAGCTTCCTCTTAATTCTCGCACTCCAATAAATGGGATACTGCCATTGATAATTATTTATATCCATGGTAAGTCAAAGCTAAAGATTTAAATGGCCATTTAGTAAAATCCCAATGTGTGTCATTACTTTGGTTGCATCAGCATACTTCCTAATAAATTTTATAATAATGATATTTGGCAGATGAATTTCTTCACACAAGGTTATAGAATGTATCAACATATCCTGTACATTTAAAATACTCCAAAGCATAATTAAATTGGTACAGAAAATTTACTTTCACTTTTCCTTTTAATATAAAATTTATTCACCTCTCATTAAATAGCAAGCTGCAGAGTCCATTTTCTCCCAAAAGTGCCTGCAACGCATGAGAGTTATTTGTCAAAGCAATTAAACCATGTGAGGCAAATAATGCAATCTGCCAGAGGTCTGTTCAGCATGCGTATTACATCCTGCAGATCAATGCAACACAATCAAGTCGGGCCTACTGTTATATTGCTTCTAGGAAGCGTAGGCAATAAGGGATAACCTGGTCCAAGGATGCCATACAGCCTACCAATTTAGTTCACTAGGCTGATACCTGGTATTGAGGGTCTGTCTTATGAGGACAGGATGAGTAAATTGGACTTGGACGTATTGGAATATAAAAGAATGAGAGGTGCCTTTATTCAAACATATAGGATTTTTAAAGGACTTGACAGGATATATGTGGAAATGTTGTTTCTCCTTGTGGCACAGTCTAGGACCAGGGGAAATAATCTCAGAACAAAGGGTTGGACATTTAAAACAGAAATGAGGAGCAATTTCTTTCCTCAGAGAGTTGTGAATCTGTGAAATTATTTATTATACAAGGCTGTGGAGTCTGGGTCATTTAGTATATTCAAAGCTGAGGCAGACACATTTTTAAACAGTAA